AATAGATATAAATAGCCAAAACTACTTTGCCCCCACTATTGACTAAGTCTTAGTATTGTTCACAGTAGGTTATAACCCCCACCTGTTGCCCCAGTATAACTATAGGATGTAGCTCTAAGCCTCGGGGTGTTGCTAATTTTACCCACCTTACGATCCACACTTTTTCCATATTTACCCCCAAACCTCAACAAACTGCCTCGTCCCCAACGTCTGTTGCCAAGAACGTCTTATCAGCTGTCTTCCCTCCTTCCGGTGCCATCTTGGTTCCTTAAAGACATTGCTGGATTTGTCTTAGGGGTGAGCTGCATTCCTTGCAGGGCTGGAAATTCTGGGTGCATGTGCACCTTAGTGCACTCAAATTTGGAGCTGTGCACCAAATTTTTTCTGTGGGTGCACCAGTGAACCCAAATATTTTCATAGGTTTCATATGATGTTAAATGTATTATTATTATAATAGTATGCAGCATATTCTTAACATCTAAGTGTTAGAAAAATATTAAAATTAATAACATTTTCTTGAGAAATAAAACAATATTACTTTTTGCTCTTATTTTGTCTTATATGTTGCACCCAAAATATTTTCTGTGCACCCAATTTTTTAGGTTGAATTTCAAGCCCTGGTATCTGAGTTCCACTCTGCGATAGTATAGGAAAGAATGAATTCTTGAGCGCCTCAATCCTTGGTTGATAAATCTGGTACTTGAAGGCATGGCTATTCCTTGTTCTCTTCTGGGCTGGTATTAGGTACTAAGTTCACTAAGGTCCACATGCACAGGCAGCATTTCCAGCCCTGCAATCCCTGACCTCCTCCCAGCTGAGTAGATTATAATACAATGCGAGGTCAGGTCATCAGGGGTAACCTACACACACAGGCCTGCTCACAGGGATGAAGGGAATGGAAGAGGTAAGGTTTCTCCTCCCTCCCTCACTCTCTCCTTCCCTCCTTCCAATCTCAGCAACTCCTGAGACAAAGTGCTGGTATCTAAGATCCTGACAAGATGTCTTGTTTGGTTACTTTGTGGCCAGCTTGGTTTGAAGAGTGTGCTATAAGACTTGGTCTAACTCTAAGGAGGCTGTGTTCAATTTAAGCTTACTGTTGCCATATGGAGAGAATCTTGAAGTATTCTTGTCAAGGAGTTGTAGGAGGACTTTAAGAGTTAACCTTGTGGTTTGAGTGTAGAGAAATCAGCGTGTTTGTGAGTTTGTGTGCGGTTAGTACCCCAGGTTGTGTGGTGAGAGTTGTGTGTTAGTGAGAACGCCTTACTCAGGCCCCGTGTAAGGTCATATCCTTCCAACAGTGGGCGGGAGGGAAGTTAGGTTCCAGCCAAGTCCTGTAAGAGGGCCTGCATGGGGGGGTACTTGGGGTAGTGATTACGAATTACGCAAAATTTTCCCCGCCGATTACAATTTATGTTAAATCACAGAGCTGATTACGACTTCACGATTTATGGCCTAATGTCCTATTGCGAATTACGTTGATTTTTGGGGAGGCTGCCTACGGATTACGAAGTCTAAAAAGGTCTGATTAGACCTTATGAAAAAGGGCATGCAGGTACACCAGGAGGGCCTGCATGGGGGGTCCCAACAACACAGCTCTACGCTAAATTTTGAGAGCCGGTTACGCTTAATTCGGGAAGCCTCCCTATTACGTTTTACGACAAATTCCGGGTAGCTACAATGCATTATGTAGAATGACAACGGTGAATTTACGTTCTACACAAAAACACACCAATTACACTCTACGTTGAATTACAGCAGTCTGTCTACACTCTACATGCATGTAGAATTAAAATGGCCGATTACGCTCTACGGAAAAGGGCATTCTGGCATGTGACATGACACGTGTTTACACACACACTGAGGAGAGGGCTTCGCAAGGAGGCGGACAAGTCTCATGTCTCTGCTCCATGTCTTCTGGGAATCTTAAGACGGTGCTAATCCGGTCAAAAGTAAACAGTTCATAAATCTAGAGTACGGGGAAGTTGCCAAACCTCTGTGTTTCTGTAACTTGAAGAACGTTCGGAATTCAGAGTCAAGACATAGCTGAAAGGAGACTCAGTACACACACATGTCTGAGGGTCTCACATCTTGTCTTATGGGGAATCTTAAGTCAGTGCTAATCCTGTCTTAAGTAAACTCACAGCTCGTCAATTTACAACTTAGAGTTGCCGAGTCACAGTTTCGGTAACTTGAAGAACTCAGGAGTGTACACTTGGTATTCTCACTATTTACAAGATGTAGATCTGTGGGTCTTCACATATTCAATTCATGTCTACGGCAGAGTTTCTGTGACTTAAAGAACTCTGGAATTCACACTGGAATTTACACTCAAGACATTGCTAAAAGGAGTACATGTCTCAGGGTTTCACATCTTGGCTTAATGTCTTGTGGGAAATCTTAAGACACTGCTAATCCGGTCTTAAGTAAACTGGTGATCAATCTTGAGTAGAGTTGCCAAGACACAGTTTCTGTGACTTAAAGAGCTCTGAAACCAGCACTCAAGACATTTTGTCTTGTCTAGATCTTGTGGGAATCTTAAGACAGTGCAAATTCGATCTTAAGTAAACTCACAGCTTGTCAATCTTGAGTAGCATTGCCAAGACACAGTTTCTGTAACTTAAAGAACTCTGAAACTGACACTCAGGACATTGCTGAGGTTTCATGTCTTGTCTAGATCATGTGGGAAATCTTAAGACAGTGCTAATCTGGTTTTAAGTAAACTGTTCATAAATCTACAGTAGAGTTACCAAGCCATAGTTTCTTGAAACTGACACTCAAGACATTTCTGAGGTTTCATGTCTTGTCTGAATCTAGATCTTGGGGAATTGTAAGACTCAGTGCTAATCCGATCATCAGTCAACTAGTAGTACATAAATCTTCATACACTTCATAAATCTACAGTAGAGTTGCCAAACCACAGTTTCTGTAACTTAGGAATGTAGGAATGAACACTTTTAATGTCTTAAAAGACATTGCTGGGAGTTTAAAATCTTTCATATCTTGGCTTAATGTCTCGTGGGAAATCTTAAGACAGTTCTAATCCCGTCTTAAGTAAACTGGTGATCAATCTTGAGTAGAGCTGTCACAGACTTGCCAAACCACTGTTGATGTAACTTAAAGAACACTGGAATTTACACTCAAGACATTGCTTGATAGAGCACAATTATCATCTGAATCTGAAACTGTATTGACACAACAAAAGTACAGTCTTCAATGGAAACGACATTGTACAAATGCACATTAATGTGTGGCAACAAACATGTCCTATTTATCTGAGAAAAATGGCAGTTATTTGATGATATTGATTATCATATTGACTTCTTCATATTAGCGGAACTTTTCGAGTTGGCCTCTTCACACAGACACACACAGACATACAGACACACACGCACAAACACACACACACTTACACAGATAGACACACAGACACACACACACACACACACACACACACACACACACCACAAACACACACACACACACACACACAGACATACACACACACAGACATACACACACACACACACACATACATGAAACAGAAAACATATCATGGTTTATCAGTATGCAGGCCTCGGTGTATGAGTTAGTGTTATCAGTGAGACTCCATGATGTAATCAGCGTTACTGGGTCGCGCTGGTTCGATGTTTGGCAGGTTTCTGTGTCTCGTTTTACAACAAATGGTGCCGGAGTGGTGTCATGGCCGCGCCTGTAATCCAATCAGTGTCTCTGTAACACCCATCAGTCCCTGCTCTAGATCACGCTACTGTAGATGCAGTTAGTTTTGCAGTAATTCTATTTTGCAGCAGGAGGGAAAAAGAGATTGTCACATATAGCAGCCATTCAATGTTTGGGGGTTAAAACTTTTCTGTAGTACAGTACAACAGCACAACATGTCTTCACAGTGTTATGATTTTATAGTTGGAATTCCCTGCAAAAAAATAGAAAACTGAACATTTTTAAGATATTGTATGCAGTTACTTATTTCTTTGATCCTCAGATTTTGACAATTTTTTTTAAAAAACAATGAGAGAAAACTCCACCAAGGTACACACAGTTTCAGGGAGTGGATATTGTCAGATGCAAATTGTCCTCCCTGCCGTCTGTTTTTATTTTACCTACTTGTCTCATATTTTTACTCTACAATGTCTAATAACCAAGGAAATGAATCTATATTGGTTTTAGTACAGGTATAAATTGTGGCCTGTACAAACATAATTTCCTTTAAGACTTTAAGAGTCTGTATTTTAATTGTAAGATACCTTAAGTACTCTTAAGTCTTTCCTTAATCGTTTTTGACTCGGAATAATCGGGTCAATTAATCGGTTAATTCTGACATAAATTGCTTTAATGTTGGATATGTGGGGCTTAACTATGACAAGTTATGCAATGTGATGTGAATTTATGTGTCTGTGCCGCTCTATATGACTGTTTCTCCAACGGGAAACATTAGATAATCGATATATAAAGTACTAGATGGTAAATGAATTTATTGCACAACAATTGCACTGGGTACAGTGCATAGCCTCACTCATAGAGTTTTTGCTCACATGTTTTTATATGTACACATGTATTGTAATGTATAATAATATTATTCTTGTAGTGTCCAGTAGAGCAACTTGTAATGGTGTAAATACTCCGGTTTTGCCCTCTCTTCTTCATTAATTTTACCAAAGGAAAACATATTGTTTCCTCCTCTTCTTCTTCTTCTCCAAACAAATAAGGTCAGTGACCTGAACCAGACGTCTGTCACTATGGTAACTGGTGTTGGGTTACATCATGTTACAGTTTTATAGCAGGAGGGATTTTGACTGCTGTCACCATACATGATTGTGAATGTGTTTGACTCTGAGTAAGAATTAACCGAGCAGACCATATGCGAAGGTAAACATTATGCATTTGCCTTGCAAATGTTACCTTCCAAGTTGTACTTGTATGTTTGTCAAGTAATGAATGAATAGTCTGAGAGGCTGTTCATATGATTTTTTCTTGTTTTCCAGAGAGGGTCTATAGAAAAGCAGTCGACAGGCAGCAAGTTTCCCCCCAAGAAACCTGCAACACCAACCAAACAGGTGAGAAACATAAAAAACTCACAGTCTCCAAGCAGATGTTTGGATGTTTTTTGTGGCTAAGAAACATCACAGACACCTGTTCTCCAAGCAGATGTTGGGATGTTTTTTGTGGCTAAGAAACATCACAGACACCTGTTCTCCAAGCAGATGTTGGGATGTTTTTTGTGACAATCCGAATACAATTACAATCTTCCCTATTCGCTGCTGCTTGAAAATGAGCAAACACACACACACACTGTCTACACACAGTCCCATTACTTGCTTAATTGTTGTGACATCACGTGTAAAGGGTCACAAATAGGCAAATAACATGCAAATTAGTTGTAGTGGGCTTGTAACAATGTTCAACATTGATCAATAATTTATTTGCTGAATTCCCTTAGCCAGAAAAACGGTTAAACACAAAAAAAGTTAACAAAGTACATGAAGTTAACCCTACAATCTTCCAAGGAAAGCTCATACAGTCAAAACTGCCCAAGAAGAAAACTATGGGGACACTTCTACTGATTTGATTGTAGACATTTTTGTGGGCCCATTAAGAACTTAATGTTTTGTGACCTTCGAGAGAAGAAAGAAATGCTTGGATAAGGATCTCTTCCATCACAATTTAACGTGCTACTGAGGATGACCTACTTTGGGAACATTAGCCTTTATAAGGAAGATGCTATCTTAATGTCCAACTGTCCTCTTGATGCAAGCTGACTTCATTTTGGGTCTGCCATTGTAGCTAGCAACTGACTTTAGATGATACGAATCTTCACAAAGTAGGTTTTTCATGTGTAAGTCAGAATATATTGAGAGCAGACTCAAAGAAAGTATTTGTCCTCAACTAACCAACGTCTTTCTTACCACAGTTCATTCTTCAGTTACACATTTGAAGTCCCAATATTTTATACCGGTCTCAATTCGCACTTTAAAATTCAGCCTGTCACTTCTTCTTTTGCTGGCTTCCTCAGTGGAATACTCAGTAAGAAATCCATATGTCAGAAGTTAAAAAAAATCACTCTGATGGGATAAAACCTCCAGTTACTGTATTGTAAAAAGTTATGTATTTATATGTGTAATCACATATCTTTATGATATGAAATATATAACTGAAATTGAAGAGGATGTGCACACCTGTGCATTCATATTTTGAAATTTTAATTACATTTTATACTGGGCTTTCCCTCTAAAGAATAAGTTACATCCCATAATACATTTCCAAGACCACCATATTGATGGTGAATTTAATGATGAATATCATATTGATAGTTTTCTCTTACAGTACAGATTTCATAGAATTCTTAGGGCTATGAGGCTTTTTTGGGGGTTGCATGTAATAAAGTTCTAATTCCTATAAGAAGTAAAGCACATCATAATAAACCCCCAAGAAGCCTCATTTGGAGGCTATAAATTTCTACTCTATATTCTTTCTCAAAAAAAGTGAGAACCATGAAATTAAATTGGTATGGCCTTTCTTACATGTAAATGTATATTTTGATATTTGAATTACATTTTACACTGGGCTTTCCCTCTAAGGGATAGTATATACATCCCATAATTCATGTTTCAAGGCTGCCATATTGATGGTGAATTTTATGATGAATATCATATTGATAGTTTTCTCTTACAGTACAGATTTCATAGAATTCTTAGGTCTATGAGGCTTTTTTGGGGTAGTATGTGATAAAGTTCTAATTCCTAAAAGAAGTAAAACACATCATGATATTAAGCCCTCAAGAAGCCTCATTTGGAGGCTATAAATTTATACTTAATATTCTTTCTCAAAAAAAGTGAGAACCACCAAATTAAATTGGTATGGCCTTTCTTACATGTAAATGTATATTTTGATATTTGAATTACATTTTACACTGGGCTTTCCCTCTGAGCAATGGTATACATCCCATAATACCTGTTTCAAGGCCGCTGCTGTTATCTGTGGAATACAGCCGTAGTTTATCATTCAGTATTGAATTTCTCCATGTCTTTGTGAGATTTTTCTCTTATATATTTCTTGTTTTATTGTCTTGTTTACAAACAAAATAATGTCCTCCCACATTGATTTTGAATTTTAATATCCGTTGCTAAGTTTTTTTTTAATTGATTGATTGATTGATCGATTGATTGATTGATTGATTGATTGAAACAAAAAACCTCTGGTGAAAATGTAATAACTTCTTGTCAAAGGTTTGAAAAATGAGGGATATCCAACCAGGTGTCATTGGAAAAATGATTGATTGATTGATTGATCAAATGTTTGATTGATTGATTGATTGATTGATTGATTGATTGATTGATTGATTGATTGATGGAAGCAAACCACACTTATGTCTTTATTTGTATTTTTTGATCGAGAAATACAAAGACAAATACCAAATGTGATGTCTACCTTCTTGACCAAGGGTTGAATAACAAAGTATCAGTAGAAAATTGATTGTTTTATTGATTGATGGATGGATGGATTAATAGAAGTAAACAACATTGGTGAAAATGTAATGGCTACTTTCTTGACCAAGGTTTGAATAACAGAAATATCCCAGCACCAGATGTCAGTCAGTAGAAACTGCTGTTGCTGCAACTTCCCTGCCCAGAATGTGTTTCCTGCCAGATTGTACATTTTAGCAGGGAAGCACTTGAGGATTGAGACATGCACTCTGTTTGGGAGGGCCTCTATGGGGGAGTTGGGATCATGCTTTGGAGAAGACCAGTCACATTTAACGCTAGATTAAGAAGGTTACCAGCATATCATAATCAACTGCTATGTAGAATTTATTTTGAATCAGAGTGGAATTCAAGAAAATTACCTGGGATTTTTAGATATCTGATGGATTTGTTGATTGTGGTATAGGGAAAAACCACATGCAGACCCTTTTGTAGAAGACCTTGGTGAGGTGATTGTTTCCATCTGGGCTTCTGCTTACCTTCAAACACTTCCATATGCTACAGGGACAGTTCATTGTACAACCTGGTGGGGTCTGTGTTACAAGGCAAGGAGGGTACATTATAATCTTGTGGGGTAGGGATCATCAAACACTTCCATATGCTACAGGGGTGGTTCATTATTAAAATTGGTGGGGACCAGGTAACAGGGATGGTACATTATACAACATGGGGGAGGAGGCCTCTGCTTACCTTCAAACACTTCCATATGCTACAGGGAAGGTTCACTGTGTAACCTGGTGAGGTCTGTGTTACAGGGATGGTACATTATACAACATGGGGAAGGGGGCCTCTGCTTACCTTTGAACACTTCCACATGCGACAGGGACGGTTCATTGGGCAACCTGGTGGGGACTAGGGAGGGTACATTATACAACCTGATGGGTTCCTGATGATGGGGAGGGTACATTATACAATCTTGTGGGCTATCAGTCAAACCTTTTGAGACCAGCTGGAGCCAGGAATGTGGAGTATGCCTGCAGTTCCAGGGAAAAGTGCTAGAGGGCCAAATATGTACCTGTCTACCTAGGGCCTAGAGGTAACGTTAGGTCAAATGTCATAAAAATCCAAGCAAAGAAACAAACATTATTGAAATGTTTGGTATTAAATAAACAACATATAATAAAAGCTAATTAAAAAGCAAAACCTCTTCTTAGTAACAAGGAACTTACAATGTATTAGAAAGATTAGTAGGTTTTATAAACTATATGTTAGTCCTCCAACAAACCCCCAAGGCTAGTGAGTGAACCCCTGTGAGACCCAGGCTGGACCAGGAATGTGGGGAATGTGCCGGGCACAGGCTGGTCAATGGAACCCTCCCTCCGCCAGTCTCCTGCCTCCCAGCACCGGCCGCGATACCTCCACACCGCACGACAACCGGTCAGTTTTCACTCATTGTCATGGTTACCGAGGAGTGTCCGGTAGCATCGGCGTTCGGTCGTAAGAAATGTATTTACGCATGCGATGCAGTGGGTTGTCGTGGAGTTACATATACAGTGGACAGACAGGTCTTATGGTGGGAGGGGTGTGTGTGTGTGTGTGTTTGTATTATCTTTGCATATCGAAGCATATCGAATCATATTGTCATGGTTACCTTGAAGTGTCCGGTAGCATTGGCCTTGGGTCATACGAACTATGATTTATTTTTTTTATACAGTACTAGTGGACAGATAGCCTCCATAGCATGCCAAAAACTGGGGGTCTTCAGGTTCTTTGGGAGCTTTTATGTGTTATATTCTGATTGCATATAGACAACATAGCCGGCCTGGTTGAATTACCCCCGTCTTTTAGAACTGGGCTAATCAGAAAACAGCCGAAGACCACCAAACCTTCAGTTCTATAAGCCTGCTACGGAGGCTAGTGGACAGACTGGTCTTGTATGGGGAGGGGGGCGTGTATATGTGTATTATTATCTTGAGTTGAAGCATATGGTCACCTTTCTAGGGTTTATTTACTTAAACTGGGATTACATAAGCAGAGTTACATACAAAGGCTTTGATCACATTGATGCTTGCTCTCAGTATATTGATTTGTACAGTTTTATTACTTGCATGATTGTAAATGTTTGTATAGGTGTATAATTTGAGTGTGATTGTGTTGAATGCTGCAGCTGTTTATTGAAAGTTACTGTCTGAATACTGAAATATAAGCAAATACACACGTCACATACAAAGGCTTTGATCATATTGATAGTTTTCTCTTAGTACAGTATATAGATTTAGAATTTAGAATTCTAAGCAGAATGAGTTGGGCTTTCTTGGGGTTATAATAAAGTTCAACTGTTACAAAGGAGTACAACACTACAATATTGGAACTGATACTAGCCACCAGAAAAAAGCACATCATAATATTAGCCCCCAAAATGCCTCATCTGGAGGCTATAAATTCATACTTCATAATTATTCTTTTTAAAACAACATGAGAATCTACAAATTTAAATTGGCCTTACTTACATGTAAATGTATGTAGGTGTTCAGGAGTATTATTGTGTTTTATAGTGCCTTCTATATTGAATCAGGGGTTTTTCTGAACAGGGGAACAAGGGCGCTGCGCCCTCATGTAACAAACCAGCGCCCTCA